CACTTACACAGTCCACGATCCCAGCTGGGAAAAGCAGCCACCCACAGTGGGCGGGCCTTCCCACCGCAATGAATGCAACCAAAATAATCCCCCACAGGCATGCTCAGAGACTAACCCAACCCAGACAATCCCTCACAGGTGTGCCCACAGGCCTGTCTTGCAGGTGATTCTAGATTCTATCAAGTTGACAATTAACACTAAAAGGGACAAACATGGAGCAGCAAAGGGGCCAGTCCCAGCAGAGCAAAGAGGGCTGTGAGCACAGATGGGCAGACTCCCAGAACAGTGCTCTCCTGGCATGTAGCAGAGGGCATTTGATAGGCCTGTGGGTTTTGGGGAATTAAAACATTCTATCATTTTGTGAATTGCGTGCGAATGTTTGAGTAACGTGAGTACAAGGAAAGAAATACGTCACTGTTCCGTAGACATGAGTTTCCTGGTGTCAGCTCTCCTCGTTTTTAACCCATATTCCCCAGTGCTTGAAAGGGTTGGAATAATCCCTTGAGGAGGAGGAAGTGCGGCAAGTTCTGGACCCATCCTCTTACCACGGTGGGGCAGCTGCACGTCAACACACTGAACGTAGAGCTGGCCCCAGATTTGAGACCTGACAAGTGAGATGTAGTTTTAAGGAACGAGTTACCCAATACATCCCTTCCAGCTCTTGTCGCTAGCCTTTAATTCCACTTAGGGGGAAAACACACTTAATTGTTTCAAAGATTATTACTTTTTTTTTTTTTTTTTTTTAGTAAATTTCTAGTAAATGGGGAGATTAATAATGGGCTATTTTTTCTCAGCTTGTGGTTTCTAATTACATCAGTTACAGCTCAGCCTTCCTCTTAACTGGAGCGCAGGCATGAACTGGAAAAGAATGAGCTAATCCCGATAGATCAGGTGGAAGAAAGCCCTCCATTCAGGTCTTTACCTTTCATCCCTTGTTCTGAGTGCCAAGAATTAATGCTGTTTGAAAGTACATACTGATCCTGCCAAGCTCCGGCAGCTGAGATAATCCTAATTATTTTCAGTGTTAGTGAGAAGGGCCGCAGTCCCACTCTGGAAGAACGTTCTATTGTGAAACATTAAATATCTGCTAAGTGGTATTGATTGGACACGATTTTATTTCCAAACACTCTGCCTATCGTGAAGCAGAAGAATTTGTTGTTGAAGACATTTTCACAGCTTTTCATCAGATTCCTTTAAGCCTACAGACCAGCAAGAGGCCAGCACTTTGGTACCCTTGGCAGGGGCACCCAGGTAAAGAGCCCGTAGCCCCAGGGAATGCCATTTGCATTTTATTTTCCAAGGGTTTCTAAGTAAGGCTTTGATAGTGTTTAACCTACAGAAGAAAGATGTGTTTTTTTTTTTTCTTCAGGCATGAATATCGTGTGTTTTCTCACATCACCGAAAGAGAATTATTCGTTCCAGACCATCAACTTCATTCCAACAGATCATTCAAGTTAAAAGTCAGGGGTCTTTGCAATGTCAAAAGACAGAGTGGTTTTGAGTGGGTTTTGCTTTATTATTTTTAGTTTTTTTTTCTTACTTAACCTTTTTTGCAGTGTGTATTATGTCTCAAAAAGAATACTTTGTTTAGATAGCACCATTGAAACCATCGTTAAGTGTTTTCTCCCTGTTGGTGAGAGCTGGGATGTGTAAGATGGGTTTGTTTTTAGCCCTTAGATGCTGTAAGCCTAATTGGTGGCCTGAGAGGAAGCATGTCCTAGACCTGCTGGTTCACACAAGGGCCAGCCTCCTGGGCTTAGGACCCCTGACTGTGACAGAAGGACAGATGAGCAGGACAGGCTTTCCTTTTCCCTCTGCAGTCTGCGCTTTAATTCCCATCTTGTGTTTCTGGGAAGGCCCAGTGCTCACAGGGAAGTAGAACCTTTAATTGACGTTTGCTGCTAATGCTTCCTGCCCCTTCCTGTGCAGTTGCCCTCTCCCCCACGCACGAGAGCGAAGCCGGAACATCATCCGTGAAGATGATGAGAGGGGAGTATCTCTGGGCCGATTACTCTTTCTTTAGGTTAGTCCCCAGAGTAGAATTACCAGGTCAGAGGGGATGAGCCGTTTTACGGTTCTTATCACATGTCACTAGACGGCCGTCCAGAAAGATGGAGCCAATTTCTCTGGTGTATCCCCTCAGTGCCGAGGACACCAGGAGTTAGCAGCACGCTTACCAAGTGACACAGACAAGCTTTTTGAGTTGAAACCAGCCCTCTGCAGGGCCCAGGAGAGTCATCTTAAAAGGCTAAAAAGGATCCTGTCGAGTTTGATACTAAATCATTTACGACCACAATTGCTGCATTTGCCTCCAGGAACGTTAAATACAGTTTGTTTAAATGTCTGGGTACCCCAAAGGACGATATTTAAGGATGCTGTTAAAATAGACTATACATTGTCACTAACACCACCTAAGTCTTCATGGGCACACCGGACTTTCATGAGGTGCTATCCAAAATGAGTTAAGCAGATTGTGACTGACATTAACTTCAACATCCTCTTATTCAGAGACAATACTAATCCTTGAACAAATGTAGAAATAATGTGCTTTTAAGTTCAAACTGGAGAAACACTTAAAAAAATACAGGTGCTTTTCCAAACTGAGTTTCTTTCTTTCCCTCCTCTCTGGAACTCAGCTCCATGTGACTAGAGCCTCAGTAGTAGCATATTTATGGTCCCAGTTGACGGAAATAAAGGGCAGCTGGGAGCAAAAGAGACTGTCCCAAATTCTTCTCGTGTAAAATTCTCACTCTTCCCTTTCTTAGTTCTTGGCTGAATGAGAGGGCACAAGGGCACCTCCTTCAGCTTCTCACTGAGTGCCAGTGACAGTTCACTGGGAGGCCCTTGTCTACTGCCAGAAGCCTCTGCATCAGTCTGAGAAGGACAGATAGTTTGGTCCCTTAATCTCAAACAGGGACCCAGAAGGTCGAGTAGCCGGTTTCCAGGTTGTGATCATCAAAAATAAGCTGGTGTAGGAGCAAGAGCATGCCAGAGACTTGGGGTCCTCTGTATACAACAGGGAGGGTAATTCTCCTAGTGAATGGCTTCTAGGTGAAACACCTCACTGCAGTATATGACCTCTGGAGCATAGTCAATAAACATTCACTCCCTTCCCTGTGGCTTGGTGACAGAAAACTCCCTGGTTTGGTGTTGGTGTGAGACTATGCAGATGAACAGGTAGACTCTGATCTGCTCTTTAGATCTGCCTGCTAAGATGATTTCTGAGCAAAAGTCTAGTGTTTGGACAGCATCTCTTTGTATATGTATATATTTGATGAGGGGCATACGGATGTGACTTGCAAAGAATTTGAAATTCAAGGAACAACCCAAATTTAGTAAGAAGCCATTGTGTTCTGCAATCACGTAAGAGCTCTTTGGGCCCCGTGTGTGTGTGTGTGTGTGTGTGTGTGTGTGTGTGTGTGTGTGTGTGTGTGTGTGTGTGTGTGTGTTGTTTTGCTGTATTTATATATGTGCACACCTGCTCTTTAGACACCTATAAAATATTATTTAATAATTTTTTAAGTTTACAAACTCACACCTCTTAAGGAAAATTCAACAAATACCTTCAATACAAAAAAAAAAAAAAAAGAATTGTCAGAAATTTGCCTAAATTGCTTCTCAAATTTATACAACTAAGTTTTCAGATGATCTCTTTCCCTGTTGGATGGTGAGGTGTCTGTGTCGGTCACATTTGGAGCTTTGGAGTATAATGTGGTTGGCCAGAGTGGTTAAAAGTCCATTTCTTGATCTCATTTCTGTTATTTCTGTGGGGCACCCAAGTGGCACCATGCATTTCCAAACCCATAACAAGTGTAAATAGTGTTCTCTTGTAAAAAGGTCTCTCTTCAGCATGGTAATATACCTTATTAAATTCCAAACATAATAAGTATTGATGGCAAACACATCAGGACCCAGTTCAGCTTCCACTATGATTTAGTTCTCTACAAATGACTTCGGCACTCAGCTCCCAGTGCATTGTGCTAATTACATCATAGATTTCCCTATTGATGAACACAAGCTGAATTAACACAGGAGCACTAATGTACCCTTTCACCATTATTGTCGTACAAGAAGCCGTGGCAGATGCTGGCAGTTAGTTACACAAACATTAGTATTAACGATTGGCCATTTGGAATTGGTGACAAACTACTGCCCGGCAGAATCCTGAGGCCGAAACCAATCAGGAAGTTAATGAGGAGAGAAATTACCGAGGCAGCTTCCCCTTAATTACATTCACACTAGGCATGAAGGGAGTTCTGGGGGTGGATCTAAATTCTGCTAAGGTTAAGAAGGTCAGAGACCCTTTTGCTTAAATTTTGTATCTACTGTGACTTCTAAGGTTGCAAAAAAAAAAGTTGTTGGGCCCATTATTATTTTTGTATCCTTTATATTTAAAGGTCAGTTTCCCAGTGGACTTTGCATGTTCATAGAATAGTTTGTTAAATTTCATGTTTTAGTGTGATGTAATTCAATTTATCCTTTTCTATTAAAAAAATCCCTTAGGCTTCCTGCCTTTTACTTCTTTATAATTATGCCTGCTGACCACCCTTCCCCCACTCTTGTTGCCCAGTGGTAGCCAAGAGAAATAAGTTGACAGGCTGCCCAATTCACCTGCCCAGTTCATGTTGCCTTTCCTTGGGTGGAAGTGAAGGGGGTGGAGTCCTGCTCAGGGATCACTCCTCAGGTGTGGATCTCTAGGAGAGGAGTTTCATTAGCATCTTTTACCTAAAGGTGAGGGGAGGAAATCTTCCAAAGTGGGTGGAGTGGTGTTTTGGTGGTTGCTTCTCAATGAACCTGAAGTCTGGGATCCTGCTACCTACCTCACTTTGCCCTCAGCTAAGCAGATGTGCTGTGGACATGACTGGCTTTTATTCTGAGGAAGTGAAGGAGGGGTCCTGAGGGGCAATAGAAACGACAGAGTGCCTCTTTGTTGGAACTTACTGGAATACTGAAGAAAGACTAGCCATTTTTAACATACTATCTCTTCCCTCACTTCCCAGTGTTCTCACCGCCCAGCAGTCAAGATTCCGGCTTGGTTTCCCTCTCCAGCAGCTCTCCGATGAGCAACGAGAGCACCAAGGGAGTTCTGGAATGCGAAACTGCACCCTCTGAGGCTAGCAGTTACCCTGTCAGCCAGGTCCTGGAAGAGGACGAGGACGAGTGAGCCGCTGGTCGGTCGACTCCCGGTGTCCACAGGGTAGTTAGCAGAGGGCTTGTTCTGTTCTCCGCAGGGTTTGTTGTTTGATTTGACTGTTCCCGTTCACAAATTTTGGTTCATATTCCTTAGAATTAGGTTAAAACACTTGTAACAGTGCAGGGTTCCTGACTACCAACTGCAAAAGATCAAAGTGCCTGGCTCACCAAGTTTAAACAGTAGTTGAGTCTCTCTCCCTCCCCACGCCTGTCCCCCACCCCCCAACCCCCTTCCTGAGAAACTAATTGACTGTCCTCCGACCAAGTAATCGAAATTACAGGCTATTTTGGGAGTTAAAATGAAATCTTAGGTGCCTTAGATTGTTATCAAGTTTTCAGGATTTTTTTTTTTGGTTTTTCGAGACAGGGTTTCTCTGTGTAGCTTTGTGCCTTTCCTGGTACTCGCTTTGGAGACCAGGCTGGCCTCGAACTCACAGAGATCCGCCTGGCTCTGCCTCCCGAGTGCTGGGATTAAAGGCGTGCGCCACCACCGCCCGGCAGGATTTTAATAAAACCAAGAAAATATAAATTTAGCCAAGTACTTGACCAGAGAAAAGAGCAGGCAAAATGACTTTAGAACTATGCAGAAAGTAAATGGAGACACTGTTGCTGTGTTGCTGTTGGCAATAGTTGTATCACACACTCCAAATCCAAACATAACTGAAATACAGTGAGAGAAAACTGTTCAAAGCCTCCGAGTACTACTTTTCCAATAAAGGATAACTTAAGAGAATACAATGTGAAGTAACCTGGTGAGGCATTTCCTGGGTGGTGGTCCTAGAATGAGTTTAACATATACATTTTCTTTACTTTTCTTTACAGGGGAAAAAATGGAGGCAATCCAGACGATTTTGTAACCTTAGGTTGTAATCTGAGTTGAAAACAAGTACATCTTTAAAAGTTACCACTGAAATTTGAGTTCATTATTTTGTTAAAAAATTGCTTTTGGAATACTTCCTCATGTTACAGAAGCCATCCTGAAATGAAACTAGTCTAAAAAATTAATTGTGGTGTGTGGTTGCAGCTGTACCTGAAATAAAAACGTTATTGATGACTGCATTTTCTTGTGTGTATATTTGGGGAGCCGCATTAAACAGGGAAAAAAAGAAATTACTTGTATTTTTTTCGCTCTGTGCCTTGAAAACATCTATTTGATTTCACCCCCATCTGTTGTAATCAATAACCTGACCATCTTGTTTTTTATTAAATGCACTTACTCTTAATTTCATCCACCAGTGGTTTTAGAGAGAATAATGTGGAGTTACCTATATAGGTTTGACATTATAAATCACTTCTTGGGGCTGAATCGTATAGCGGTATCGATTGATCCTGATATATCACAGAAATTTACTGTCACTTCTGTTTTCAATTAAAGATACAATCAGTCAGATAATGACTTAATTGGATTTTACAGAAGATTGAGTTTTATTGCCCAGTGCTTTACGAGTTTAGTTAAGGAAGATCATTTTATCACACTTGTCAGGCCGCTGCTACTGCAGCCCGTGCCCTTCTGCAGCTGTAGCTACTGTGGCGACGACATCGGAGACTGCCGGCGGGAGGAAGGGGAGCGGTTCCTGGTGGCTTTCCCGTTCCTCGCCTGTGGGCTGTCGCTGGCCCGAGGCGGTGTCCACGGTTGGGGTCCCCTCCCTTATCAGGCTTCGCGGCTTGGGTGCGCCCTTTGAAGGTTCTGTAGAGAGACTAGGCAGGGGGTCTGACCCCTCACCGACCCCCCATAAGCTGTATCTGTGTGTCCGTCCCGAGGTCGTCAGCGCTGGTCCCGCGGGAAAATGCCTCGACGTCCACCTGCTCGCCCCAAACTCAGTGCGCGCGGCATCCAGGACTCGGGACACCGGTGGGGACTAGTCACAGACTGGGCTACTCCCAGGGGTACCAGCGGGGTGATGGCGGCAGGCCATGCCAGGCTACAGGCTGGCAAGTCTGTGGAATATCTGTGTAAGGAAAAGACCTGGGCCTTGTTCGTAAAGAGGCATTGACACGACCTTTGCATTTATTCGTGATTGCTAAGGAGGAGGAGGAGGAGGCCGGTTCAAAACAGGGCAGGACCAGTTCAGAATAAATCTAGCCGGCCACAAGCAGCGGGATCTAGAGGCGCCCAGATTCTAACAGCAAGGCCACTTTCTCCTGTGGTTCCGTAGTATGTGTGGGAAGCGAGTGTGAACACGTGCGTGCAAATGGGAGTGCGGGGTAGCTCCCGGGGAGTTGTTGCCTTAATGAGTCTGCAAACCACGCGTGGGAAACCGAGGCAGGCTGGCATTCCTACAGAGGTGCCAGACAAGCTCCTACTAGTATTGAGGGTTATGGGAGAGCTGTCCCTGAGGCTGGAGGTCGCAGGGTACCACCTAACCGGTCGTTTCAACGCGACCCACCGCGCAGAGGCCACGAGCGTGTAGACTGCGCAGCGGAACCCGGGCCACGGGCACCCCAGCAGCAGACCCTTGCCTGCTGTCCACACACTCAGAACGTAGAGTGGACCCAGTGGGCCAGGCTCGCCGGCAGAGCGTGGGGTCTCCCACATTGCAAGTGTGCGGGTCGGCTAGAAGATGCTTGCCCACGCGGGAAGCCGAGCGCCTCTGCTTTGCTGACTCGGCAGTGCCCGGCCAGCACTTTCCCACGCGGCGTTTGGAGTCCCACTGGGCTCAGTTTAGGACAAGAAGGGAGTGGACGAAGACGAGCGGCCTCCAGTCTTCCACTCAGCCACTGTGAAGTTCCTTCCCGCCCACGCTCGGAACAGAAGCACAAACTTCCACCCACCAGCGCCTCCGTGGAGCCTCGCCACGGATCGGGGCGGGGCGAAGGGGGTGGGCGGGGCCAAGGTGGGCGGGGGCGGGGACTCTCACCGGAAGTCGCCCCTTCAGGCGGCGCTGCAGCGGGGGAAGGAGGTGCGATCTAGGTCCTGTGTGAAGCGCCGCTACCCCAGGTCCTGGTGGTTCTGAGTTTCGAACTCCCGGAGTCGAGCTCGCACCCGCTCTTCCTGCGGGGGGAAGTTTCCCTCTGCACCTCCCAGCCTTTACTCGATTCTGTGTTCTCCGGTAGAAAGCAGGAGCGGGTGGGGGAGTTTTCTGGGGGAAAAAAAAGTCATGGAGAAGTCCACCTAGCGCTTCGAGCTAACGACCTAGGGAAGGGAAACGTTTACTTTGTCCCTTGAACGTTACTCAAATTACCTGGCCCGGTTTTTTTGTTTTGTTTTGTTTTTTCAATCTTTGGCTTTTAAAACTACAGAAAGGCTGTGTATTTGAGCTGTCGATCACTTTACCCAGGAGACCCGGTTCGCCCCCTAGACGCACACTTAAGCAAAAGGGGGTTGTCTCCCTTCCAAAACCGTTCGAGGGCTTGTCCCCCGCCCAGGACGGTCTGGGTGGGGGGCGGTCAGCGAGGGTGTGGCCATCCATCTGAAGACCCTTAGAAACCTCTGGGTGAGGTGATGCAGGAGAGACACACTCTCCCCAAAAGTTGGAGCCAGGCAGTGTCGTCCAGGCTGAGTGTGAGAAATGTGCCCCCAGGCCCGAGCCGCTGCTGGCCGGGAGAGTTCTAGAACCCCCGAGGGCAGGGCAGCACTTGCACACAGCCCTCTTTCCAGGCGCGGAGCGCGTCTTTTAATCCGAAGGCAGCCCGCTCCTACTTCGACACGCCTTCTTCCCCACTGAGATTGTATGGGTAGGTGACAGTCCAGAACCGTTCTCCGGTTGCTCAAGGCATCCCTCAGGCCTACTGGATGCGGGGTCGCTGGAGAGGAGCTTCAGGGATATCGTAAGAACTGAGCTTGAGGCTCTCCCCAACCAGTTGGAGGCGAACAAGGACATTACCACCGCCCCCAAACCCCAGTCACCCCCACCTTCTTTTAACTTGAAGCTGGCTAAAGAGAGATGCCCAGAGACACTGATTGGGTGAGGGCAGGATAGCTCCGGTTAGGTTCCTGAGTAGGCAGAGGAGTTTTTACAAGCCCCGCCACCCCGCACCTGTCAACACCCAAGTAACCTTGTTCGCAACACAACCAACAAAGTAGAACAGATGTCTCCATGTGTCTTACATCCAGCACACTATGCAACTGTCCTTTGATTAAATGTTGCTGGGTGGGGGGTGGACGACACCTTTCAGGACCCCCAGACTGGGAATCAGACACCAGCACTTTCTCAACAAGAACACTGGCCTTCGGAGCTTCTGATATTCCCGCATCAAGCCGCTGAGTGTGCGCCAGAAGGAGCAAGCGCCCATCGTGGTTTTTTTTTTTTTTTCTTCACCCGCTTCAGTATTAATACCTGCCATATCTTACCCAGTTAATTGTGGTTTGAAAACACTAGCACACCACCCAGAGGAACCGGGAGTGGGTGTAGTCTAGTGAGGTTACTTTCGCTTGTAATCCTCCCCCTCCCTTTCCAATTTCTTTGATGATTTTTCCCATAAGCGCGTAAGCTGCAGGGACTTAGTAGAAGCAGGCCGCTCCTCCTAAACGTGATTCGGACCATATGCTTTCCACATTCATTCCCGCATGGGCTTTCTTCTCTGAACTAACTGCTAACACGTTATAGTCACCTTGAAATTTCCTCTGCTATTTTCCAATTAAAAGCTTAATAGCCCTGGAAACGGAGTTCATGTGGTGAAGTTTACCATAGCCCCTTGTTCTGAAAGGCTTTCTGCTGGGATCCCATTATGTGCTTGAATAAACCCTTTCTGCAAACAGAAATGGGACTCGGGGTTGTCAGGTGTTGGGTTACAATAGACTTTGAGGCAGGGGACATTTTACCAACATAAATACAAACCTGTCCCTATAGGGAGATGTTGTCAAATACTGGGATATGGAAAACATTCCCATCAAATATGAGAAAAGGATTACCGCGCTATATCAAATGAGTATTTAGATCTCAACTCTCCATGTTCACTGGAGTGAAACAGGGCCCAGTACCAAATAATACCAGAATGTGTGAGTGGCACCAGGATAGGGTGGCTAGATGACCCAGGAAGGAAAGGGGACTGCCTTGAGAATGAAAATGTCCCCCCAAAACCTGGTGCAGAGCGCCTCTGCTTTCCTTCCTGAGAGAAACTCGTTACTCTTTATTTTCCGGATCCATTTTTGCTGACCATTTAGGAGAAATTCGGCTTTGAGAAAAGTCCGTGGTCCTTGTGTTTCTCAGAGACACAGATTCAGAGCGAAACAGTGCAAATTCCCAGGTTCCTGTCCTTCACAGTTCATGAGAAATGGCTCCCGTAGGCACCCACCCACTTTTCTGTTTCACGCCCTACGACCCACGGGTGACCTCTGTCTCCCGTCCCCCCGGTTTACGAAATTCCTTCCGGTTGTAGCGTTAGGAACTTGTTTTTCCTGGCGAAGGATGGCAAGGGGCCAGATTAGGAAAGGGCAAGAGACAGGGGTATGGGTCCCGTGCAGCTTTTGGGGTAGTCTCTGGGAGGTAGCATTCCTGTGCAAGGGCTTCCTCCCCGGGCCTCACCAGGTCAGCCCCCAACAACCACCAACTCCTCCACGCGTCTGAAACCCCGGGTGGCTAAAGGCGTCGAGGGAAGAAAGGTATGCCACTATATATAACCCCGTTCCAAGTTCTCTCCCCTTTCCAAACCACTCTCCCAGGCCGAGAGCTTGCTGCTTGAACTCGGGGCGGTGCAGCCCTAGAATTCATAGTAAACTCAAACGGCCAGCGGCGCTCTCCTCCTTGGCCGGTTGTCGGGTCAGCCCTGGAAAGCGACTTCCAGAAAACGACTGTGGCCTCTGTGCAGTCCAGGGCTCAGGGACCGCAACAGACCCGTTTACGTTAACTTTCAGCCACACCGCAAAGTGCGGAGCTTAAAGCAGGACTCGGAGCAGCTAGCAGATCGTCCAAGACTTCCATCGTCTCCTTCCAATGGAGCTGTTAACCGGTCCCGAGTCTACGTTGTATCTTGACTTTTGTTTGGTTGTTTTCTTGGTGGGATGGGAGAAGGCAGTTTTCTCTGTGCGTGTGTAGTGGTAGCCGGCGTTGGACAAACCAGGACTGTAAACAAGCAAAGAATAATAAACACAGTTTATGCAGTCTAGAAACAAACAAACAAAAAAAGGGTTTTGCGGTCATCTTATACACGAGCCTCTTCCCACTCTCACTCAAAGATTTTTATGAGTAGGGTTCATCCCTTCTCCGCAAGTAAATCACGACGCCTGTGAGGATTTGAACTGGGCAACTCCGGAGCTTGGTTGCTGATTCAGTGACCGTTGCGCGAACAAGTAGATCATACTGGGTAACTTGGGGGCCACTAATGTGTCTTCTAGCTCCGCTCTCTGAAAGTTCAAACCATGCTTAAGGAAAACATCCAAGTGTGCACTTCCCGGCCTTCCAAAGCAGAGAGAGGTCTTTCAAGGCAGAGGTTGTTTATTTTAAAGACAGAAGGAGGTAGGTAGAAAATTAAAATTACCCAACAAAACGGGTTGTCTTACTGAAGCCTGACAGATTAAAAAAAAAAAATACTCATTTTCTTCTGCAGCAACGAAAAAGAAACTGGATTGCAAAATGAAATGAAGAAAAGAGTCCCCAAATTGCCGTATCACAACCAGCCCTCTCACTCCTGACTCCAAGATCTTGTACTTGAAACCTGGTCCTCCCAGGGCCGAGCTGCCGCGCACCCTTAATTCCCTTGGCAGCTCCGAATTGCTGAGGCCAAGTGTGGGTCTAGGGCTCATTGCTTCTAGACCAGGCCTGGAGCATCCTGAGAGGGTAGGGGAGAGGCCTGCCCGCTCGCTTACAAGCACTCACCCCCTCCGGATCCCCCCCATCGCCCCCCGCGCGCGCGCCCCCCCCCCATCCGCCCAGCGCGCCCGGTGTACCGCAGCGGCACAGTCCCTCCCGCCTCGGGAAGGGGTAGTGGAGAGCTTGGAAGAGGGGGGCTGTGAGCGCCCCCGCCAGAGAGGCCCGGCTGGCTGCAGGTGGTGAAGAAGGTGAGGTGCAGGAACCCGAGGGGTGCCAGGGAGGAGAAAAGTGTGCGAGAGGAGTGCAAGGAAGCAGGGACCCTGGGGGTGGGGGTGGCGGTGGGAGGGAGGGAGGAGGGACTGGCAGGGGGGAGGGCAGCGGAGGAGGTGCTGGGTCCAACCAGAGAGGAAGGCAACAGCCGAGGAGTTGGCTCAGACCTTAATCAGAGCTCTCAACGGCTCCTTGCAGCGGCCCGAGAGTCTCGGCGGCGTGGGAGGACCAGCGGGGTGGAGCTTGCGTCCTCCAGAGCAGCCGACGGAGACTCGGCCCGCGTGGGGGGACAGGCAGGCCACGAGCCAAGCGGTTCAGGCTGCGAGCATCTCCGGAGCCAGCGAGACTTGCTGCGGTACCTCCGGCCGCTGCAGACCATCCGAGACCTCTGGGAGCAGGCCTCCCAGCTCCGCGGTCCAGCTCCTGCCGCCCTGCTCCCGCCGCCGGCCGGGGGGAGCCCCTGGGCATGAACGGCTACGGCTCCCCCTACCTGTACATGGGCGGCCCGGTGTCGCAACCGCCGCGGGCGCCCCTGCAGCGCACGCCCAAGTGCGCGCGCTGCCGGAACCACGGGGTGCTGTCCTGGCTCAAGGGCCACAAGCGCTACTGTCGCTTCAAGGACTGCACCTGCGAGAAATGCATCCTGATCATCGAGCGGCAGCGGGTCATGGCGGCTCAGGTGGCGCTGCGCCGGCAGCAGGCCAACGAGAGCCTGGAGAGCCTGATCCCGGACTCGCTGCGGGCTCTGCCGGGGCCCCCTCCGCCGGGGGACGCCGCCGCCACCGCCGCCGCCGCCTCGCAGTCGTCGCCAGCCTCCCAGCAGTCCCAGCCGCCCGCGCCGCCTCGTCCGGCCGCCGAGTTGGCTGCAACCGCCGCGCTGCGCTGGACCGCGGAGCCCCAGCCCGGGACGCTGCCGGCGCAGCTCGCCAAGCCAGGTGAGAGCGTCTGCCGGGCGGGGGTCGGCCTCCTCCAGCGAGGAAACTTCGAGTGTCCTCGGGGATCCGCGTGGAAGGCCGAGGGGCAAGTGTGAGGGAGGTTGACCCGGTTGGGCCTACCTCCCCACCAGACACTCTGAGTCTTGAGAGTCTGAACCCGATGCAGGTGGAACCCAGAAGCCCGCCAGAGAGGCCGGCCAAATAGCCTAGCTGTGCGTCCCTGGCTCCTGGTGCCTTCTGTGCTCTGCAAACGATGTAAACCATGTCTGGGAGGACCGCCTTTCAGTGCACCATGATGAGGCGGGTTTTCCTGGCTGCGGGTTTTAGGGGGGCTCTCATTTGGGGGTAGGGGTAAGTAGAAGCGGGGTAGCAGTCAGGGCCCAATGCTTTGCTGTTTCTAGGTGAATCTTGGCTTGGCCTGGGGCGTGGGAGCAAAAAGAAAGGCGTTATCTTTAACTTAAAGGAGCTCAGACGTTCTTTAGCTGGCCTAAGAGGACTCGAGACTAAGAATTCGGTAAAAAAGAGTCGCCTTTTAAGAACTATGGATAAAAGGTCCCTGGAGTCTTCAAAGTGAGACCAGTTAACTCTTTTGGCCGAACTACCTCTATAGTCCTTTAATTCCGACTCCCAAGCTGCTGTGGTTTGAAGAAATTAAAAACAAAACTTGGCCTACAATGGGGAAAACCTCGCAAGTACTTTTTCAGGCTTGGGCGGGCTCGCCGGCTGTGGAACAAGGGAGGCTTCTGGGCCACCTTGCTTCCCTCTGTTCTTTCCCTCAGAAATGCTTTTATTTGGGCGTGGGATGGGGTAACGGGAGTTTCTGAGCCCTGAAAGTGGGCAGACCCCAGTTTCTATCTAATTCGGTCAACCTGCTCCTTCCTGAATCTGGATGCCTGCAGTGTAAGCTTCTTCCTAGCTTTCCTCGGAGGGAACCCTTGGCTTCGCTCCTGACCCCTCTCAGCAACCTGAATTCAGCGGACACGAGTCCGGTGTTTCCCCCTCACTGGGCAAATGTACAAAAGGCAACAAAGCCCATCTCCTCGGAACGGGGTGTACTGGAATTAGGGGTGAAAGGCCCACAGTTTTCCAGTGGGTAGAGCCGCAGCCTCCACTTCCTCAGCCCCTCAAAGACAGATAGCTCTTCTTCAGAAAGGTTTTTTAGAGAGCTGCAGAGTGCTGAGCTGAACTGCTGAAGACAGACACTCACTGGTGTGTGGTGAGGTGCTAGGTGACTGGGCAGACCAGTCCCGCCTTCTGGCTGGCTCATTTATGTTCTTTAGGCCTAAAGTTCAGAAAGCAGTTTGCTGAGCGGGGTTTTGTGGATATTTAACTACAAGGGACATACAAGCATTTCTCTGAAGCCCCGCTCCCTCGTCTCCTCATATTTGTGGATTTGCTGCGGAAAAACTATGGAGAAGAGGGTTTTGTGGTTCTGTCCTGTCTTTCAGGTGAGAGCAAGTAGGAGAGTTTGGTCTCAGTTCAAGAAGTGATTCCCTGCTACTATCTTTCAGTTTTCCGTTTCAGTTTCCCTAGCTCTTGGACCAGAGTCCTCAGGAGTAGAGCAGAAGTCTGAGTTAAAATTCAGGTCGGCATTTTGCAATGCCCATCTGCCGACCAACACCTCTGGTAGTGCAGTAACCTTGAGTTCTGTGGCCTTTGTTCAGGAGGGGATTCCTGTAGCGTCCTGGGATCCTCCTCCAATCGAATCGTTCTCCTCTGAAATGTATGAAGAGTCACAGAACCTAAAACAAGCTGAGAAAGACTTGGGTGAGGAACCCAGCTGAAGCAACAGCAGGGCCCACGCTTTAGGAGAATAAAAAAAAGGGCAAAGAATTTAACGGCACAAATCAGGCTTGGGGCTTGCTTCTACCAGATACTCGGGGAGCCCGAGCCTTCCAAATTGAGAACAAGTAGTTGGGGTGGGGGAGGTAGAAGACTGTGGACTTCCAGGGACTAAGCTGTGAGGGACCCAGGGTTCATTTTCCTTCTGGTCACCCCACATACCTTGAACATTCACTAACTTGGTTTGCTTTTATCAATCGCATTCCTTTAAAGAAAAAAAAAATCATCAATTGGCTTGGGGGAGGTTTATAAAACAAAACTGACGATAATTTTTCACTAGGAACACAAATAAATAAATGGATTGGTTCTGTGCAACACATAAAAAAAGCCACTCTGTTGGGAGTCAACATTAACATTAATTAAAGCAACATTAAAACGGGGCAGTCAAATTAAAGCTCCTGGTTGAGACTGCCTGTCGCTGTGTTCCTGGACTTGTTGTTGTTGTTGTTGCAGTGTGCTTGTATGTGACATGCTGTGCATCTTTAGAAGCATGCTAGATCTTCCTGGATAAGTTAACTCCATTTCGGAGAGTAAGTGTGGCCCTGTTGGGATGGAAGGGCGGGGAGTCTGTGCTCAGCTGCCGTCTCAGCTAGCAAACCCTTCCGGTCTGCTCCTTTGTGAACTTGGATTTTGAGAACCTGCATGGAGTTTTTGGAGGGCAGAGGGCCTCCCATCGATAGCCGTGAAATGGTTTGTTCTTGAGGACAAGCCCAGGTGCACCAGCACAGGGAGTCCGTTCCTTCTCTGAGTCTGTGAGAAGAGAACAGGCCTTGAGAAGGATGTTGGCTAGGCATCCTGGGAGAAACCCCACACGGTTCGGGGAGAGACGTGTGAACACCGAAACTCGGCTTTCTGGCTGGAAGAAATCTTTCCTTATCCGCCCCTTCGGTGGCCTGAGCTTGAGCACTGCTTTCTATGTGAGTTTAAGAAGTTCCTTCTGGGCCGGGCGGTGGTGGCGCACGCCTTTAATCCCAGCACTCGGGAGGCAGAGCCAGGCGGATCTCTGTGAGTTCGAGGCCAGCCTGGGCTACCAAGTGAGTTCCAGGAAAGGCGCAAAGCTACACAGAGAAACCCTGTCTCGAAAAACCAAAAAAAAAAAAAAAAAAAAAAAAAAAAAAAAAAAAAAAGAAGTTCCTTCTGACTCTTCTGGCTACGCGGATTGAAAGGCCTCTTCAAATGGCACTCTTTTTCTGCCTGTCAATCAATCTCTGCTACCAGCTCTGCCTGTAATTAATTAGATTTTGATGGCGCCCCACTTTCTAACTTAACCTTCCCTGTAGACACTGTGGAACTCACCTGCGCTGTCCCCTTTCTTGTCACCTTCGGCCCCTCCCCCCCTTGAAAACGTCACGGCAAGCCTAACCTCTGGCAGCCGTCTGGACTTCTGATTCAGCAGTCTCATCCAGCCAAGCCAGCCAGCTCTTCAGGACCCTGGGCTCTGGGCTCTGGAGATGAGGGAGTTTAAGGGTCATGGCCAAGGTGAGGCACTGCAGTCCCCGGTCCCTTGTAGCTGGCTGCCTCACCCCAGACTTCTCCTCTGGAGGAGGATCCTGGGTGGCCATAGGCTGTGGTGCCTGGGAAGGAAAGAACTGTGGCTGTGGTGTATATCTGCCGTGTGTGTGTGTGTGTGTGTGTGTGTGTGTGTGTGTGTGTGTGTGTGTGTGTGATATATGTTGGTTTTATATATATATTATGATATACATTATATACATATATATGATGTTATATACATCTTATATATAATGGGTTCTTTTAAATGCTCTTTGAAGGAGAAAGAAATAAAAAGAGAAGCATTTGGTTAGGGGTTGAAGAAGTGGATTAGATAGGGAAGTGAGGTGTCCTTTATTACGGGGGGGGGGGGGGGGGAAACACATGGCGGCTAGTGAGAGAGGCTGGTCTTGGAAAACTGACTTTATTTTGCCTCCCACTGAAGCACCTTTATGATTTGGATGGCCCAGTCTGCTTCCTTATTAGCTTTAACTTTTTTTCTTTTAATTCCCCCCAGAGAAATACTTGTGTTAAGGGAGCGCTCATGAAAGCCAGATAAGGAAATCCTGTCTGACTGTACACCCAGCGCCAGGGGGAAGATGGGGACAATTAAGAGTCACCTGGGACATACACCTATGAAGTGCAAAGCTTCTCTGGCTCTAAGAGGCATGAATTGAAGCAAGGGGCCTTAGGAAAAGCCAGATAGAGAGAAATAGGGGACAGCCTGACTGTCTCTTTAACCTTTCCTTCTGAGCTGACTTTGGGGTAAAGCATCCAGTCCTGGCCTTGCTAGATTTGCTGGAGAGGTGGGAGTAATGACTGACCAAGGACCCAGGCTGGCCCAGGGATCTCAGGAGAGGCTTCTAGTGGCAGCAGCATGGACACGTGACTTCTCTGTGACGGCCCTGAAGGTAGCCTGCTTCCTCCCACCACAGCCCCTGCCTCACCTAAGGGCTCCAGCAAGCCCCCAGAGCCTTCCCTTCTCAGTCCACTGGGCCTCAGCTCCCTCCCTGCTTTGGCTTACTTTGAGGGGCATTGAAATGCTAGCATGTCTGTCTGGTAGAGCCTAGGACACAGTTAAAGGAAAAATGGGGGTGCTCCTGCAGGAACCAGAGTCTGCCAGGCAGAGAACCCCCCAGCCTGCTGGGCGGGGGAGGTGCTTATAAATCTGGAGAGTGGCAGTACTCTCCGCTTACAACCAACTTTTCCTTTCCCTGATGGATGAACTCCCGGGTTTAAAAGATTACAGTAATCACAGGAGGACAGTGTAAATCGAATCTGATAGCAATAACTTTTGGAGAAGGTCAGGCTCAAGTGAAATGTTACCAAGCAACAGGCATTTTGTTTGCAAAATACAATCAAAGAGCATTGATGAGAAATTCTTTTCTGCAGGGAGTCAGCACTTTTCTGTTAGCAGCTCCACAGAGGGAAGAGGGTAAATCTTCATAAATCAAAGGCCCTGCAGGACTGGGAACCTTTCCTGCTGGAAGTGTTGCATTTCTTCCTGACAGGGAGGAAGAGGGCTCAGTGAAAACCCCATGTGCCTGCCTGCTTGCCTGCCGGCCTCCTCTCTTCCTCTCCTCTGGCTTTCTTCCTTTCTTCCACCTTCTAACCTGTTGCAGACCCCTCTAGCCATTAGCCACCCGGGTCCTAGGAGTCCCTGGTACTCT